CTCTCCACTCATCTTTTTCCTGGTTGACCCCGTGACTGTTCTTATGTTGCTGGCTGAATTTTGTACCATTCTGACCAGATGACCAAACCATTTGATTCTTTGGTGTCTATGCAATCATTGATTTACCAGTACTGTGCTGACCATTTATTACGGTCTGAGAAAAATGGCACTGCAAGGAGTTACAGGGGAAATCTATCGACACTCGACATTCAGGGAAAAGGCAAGACGGATATACAATCAGACAGTTACCGGTACCATTGGAATTTTAACTCTTCATTTGCTGCTGAGGATGGGGACATATAGGGGTGTCCTGAGTGCTGTGATGTTGATTTTTCATTTAACATGCAGACCATTTTTCTTAATTCCAAATTGGCTGTATTTTAAGACAGGTTTGTTGGGGAAGGGGTGTAAATTCTGATAATCATTCAGTCAACTGTAAATTCTGATAATCATTTATAGTCAACTGTCAATTCTGATAATCATTCACAGTCAACTGTAAATTCTGATAATCATTTACAGTCAACTGTAAATTCTGACAGTCATTCACGGTCAGCTGTAAATTCTGACAATCATTAATGACGAGCTGAAGCTCGTACTCGGCAGACCAAAATCTGACACTACCAAAGCAAAAGTTTAAAGTATCTGTGAAACCTCCCAAAAAGTCAATGACCTGCTCAAGCAGGATGTTTCTTCCGAGAGGCACAAATATCATGTCCTAGATCTAAACATGCCAAATATAAACAATCTTCTCCAAGGGCAAACTTCTTCTGCATTCATCCTTAAAATAGAAATTAGCACATTATGTTGTGGTTTATAGCTAGGCTGCGATATCTGCGCCTTTCAGCCCAATGCATTTGATTTCAGCAAATCTTTCATTAGAAGCCTTTTATGACATGCTTGTTGGGAGTTAATTGACTCATCCATTGCCCTGCTGTGCTACCATGTGTCACATAGGGCTCGTAGTCTATTTCTCCACTCTGTTACATTCTGTCCTGCTGTGCTACCATGTGTCACATAGGGCTCGTAGTCTATTTCTCCACTCTGTTACATTCTGTCCTGCTGTGCTACCATGTGTCACATAGGGCTCGTAGTCTATTTCTCCACTCTGTTACATTCTGTCCTGTTGTGAGTCTATTTCTCCACTCTGTTACATTCTGTCCTGTTGTGCTACCATGTGTCACATAGGGCTCGTGGTCTATTTCTCCACTCTGTCCTGTTGTGCTACCATGTGTCACATAGGGCTCGTAGTCTATTTCTCCACTCTTTTACATTCTGCCCTGTTGTGCTACCATGTGTCACATAGGGCTCGTAGTCTATTTCTCCACTCTGTTACATTCTGCCCAGTCACTTCGATATCAAGGATGGAATAGAGTACAGCACCTCTGGCCTCTCTTGGAGGTTCAATGGGTCTAAAAGTTGCTCACCAAAAATAGAGCCCCAGAACCCACACAGGGATCCAAGGAAGAACAAGTAAGAAGAAGACATTGTAAGCAACACAAACATACACAGACAACTTTCTACATGCGGCTAATTATTTACATCAATGAAGTATATGAATATCACAGAAATGCATATTAAGTTTTAAATGTCCAGATGTCATTCAGTCTCCCACCAGTTAAGATTTGTTATCCTAGTCAATAACTCCGCTAAGACCGGTCCCAAGCCCGGCTGTAAAAGGAGGAGGGTCTGGCTGAACCTGAGTGCTTCATGCGTCTCCGGAAGTAGTGGGTAACCGTGAATCAGCCAGACGGCCTGCATGGAGGCCGCAAGGAGGCAGCCCCTCCACCATGCAAAGGCACAACAGGCCAATCACCTGTTTGCCTTAAACCACGATTACAAGTAACTACAGAGAGAAAACCGGACGGATCTTAACGGCGACGAACTGGCATGGCTTACGGACTACGATTTATGGAACATGGAATATAAGAGGCATTAACGGAAAGGAAAACGAGTTAGTAGGGGAGATGAGGAAAGCAAAATTAGGAGTCTTGGCTCTGACTGAAACCAAGAAAAAGGGGCAAGGAATCACAGATCACGATGGAAGTATGCTGCTCTACAGTGGTGTCCCTATGACGGAGAGAGCCAAGGGAGGTGTTGGCTGTATTGTGGCCAGGAATCAAGTTAGTAACATCAAAGGATGGAAATTCATCTCAGAGCGAATAATGGTGTTAGATCTGAAAGAAGAAGATAAAATTGTCAATTTTGTCATTGTGTACGGGCCAAATGAAGATGAGCGAGTAGATGTTAAAGAAGAATTCTTTGAACTGCTCCAAAAGACCATAGATGACTGTCACGATGAAATTATCCTCCTAGGAGATCTAAATGCCAGAGTAGGAAATGATCACTCTAGATGGGGTGGAGTGATCGGGAGATATGGTGAAGATGTTTTGAATGATAATGGCAAGCGACTTCTCAGATTCTGCAGGGAACAGAACCTTGTCATTACAAACACGAAATTCCCCCACAAGCGTATACATGCATACACAAGATGTGAACCTTCAAAGAATGAAAAATCCATCATTGACTACGCCATAGTTAGGAAAAGTTCATTCAAGTTTGTGATAGATGCCAGAGTCATGAGAGGACCAGAGATTGGAAGTGACCACTATCTGGTCACAATAAAGAGAACAACTGAAAGAACTGCTCCAACAAGGCAACACCGACAACTATGCAAGAAACAAAGCAACCAAGAAGGGATGAGGATTAAAGCATACAAGCTAAGAGAGCCAGATATTAAGGCTAGATACCAGGAGCTTATAGTGAAAGCAATAGGAACTGAAGAAGAACCATCAGAGGACACTGAAACCCTCTGGTGCAGATTCAAGAATATCCTCACAGCAGCTGCAGTAGAAGCATGTGGTGAAGTCCCAAGTGGAAGGCGGGGACACAGGACACCTTGGTGGACAGAAGAAGTCAAATTGAAAATAGGAGAAAAGAAAAGGGCATGGAAGCAATACCTGGCAGCCAGGAACACAGCTGAAGAAATAGAAAAATATAACAATATGTGGCACTCAGAACAGAGACCAAAAATATTGTGCTTAAAGCAAAACAGAAATCATGGGAAGAGTTTGGAGAAAAGTTGGAAAAGAATGCAAGAGAAAACCAAAAACTGTTCTACAAGACCCTTAAGAACATGAGGAAGGAGAAAGAGTGCCCACTTAAATTCATAAAAGACAAGGAAGGGGCTCTGCTTACTTCTACAAATGATATCATGGGCAGATGGAAAGAATACTTCTCAGAGCTCCTCGGCGCTGAGGGAAGTCATGACCCAGAAATAATGGACCTCACTGCTGAGAAGGAATTCAATCATGTGGAAGATAACATCAGGATGGAAGAATTGAAGGCAGCTATTGAGAAGATTAAGCTGGGAAAAGCAGCAGGTCATGATGGTATAACACCAGAGATGGTCAAATATATGGGAGTCGAAGGTGAGCGCCTTCTACTGAAGGTTCTCCAGGCAGCCTGGTGTAGCAAAACTATACCAAAAGATTGGGAGATTGCCATAATTATACCTATATTTAAAAAAGGTGATAACAGACAATGTGAAAACCACAGAGGCATATCCCTCCTCAGCATCCCCGGTAAAAGTTACTCTAGAATTCTTGAGCAGAGACTTAGAAGTCTGGTAGAGCCACAGCTGGACGAGGCCCAGTGCGGCTTCAGAGCAAACCGAAGTACTCAAGACCTTATCTTCACACTGAGACAGATGAGTGAAAAAAGCCCTGGAATATAAGAGTGAGATTCACTTATGTTTTTTGATCTGGAAAAGGCATTTGACAAGGTACCCTGGAACAAGCTCTGGGACTGCTTGGCAGGGAAAAACATCCCAGCACCCCTGATCAGTGCAATACAGAGTTTCTACAAAAAGTGCAGAAATTATGTAAGAACAGCAGACCAAAAGTCAGAAGAATTTAAGACCACCAGCGGTGTTAGACAAGGTGATATTCTCTCACCTTACCTCTTCATTCTTATGATGGATGATGTCATCAAGACCTGTAAGGAGAAGACAAAGAAGTACTCTGTAGGGTACTGGAAGATGAGACCAATCTGTATATCAGAGCTGGCTTTTGCAGACGATGTGGCCCTGATAGCTAAATCAGAGGCACACCTTCAGTACAACTTACTTGTCTGGAAGGAAGAGCTTGAAAAGAAAGGGATGACCATCAGTGTCTCCAAAACTAAAACCATGGTGATCTCAAGAGAGGAGAAGAAACACCAGATCATGATGGGTCAGTATGCGTTGGAGCAGGTTAACCAGTTCAAATACCTTGGAGTTGTATTAGACCAAAATGGAGGCATTAAGACTGAGCTGGCTACACGAAAAGCAGCTGCTGGGAGACTCTTCCAGGCCATAAACCGAGGGTTTCTTAGCAAAAGAGAAATTGGCAAGAGGACGAAAATGGCTGTTTACCGCTCTACCTATGTACCAGTCCTGACCTATGGGTGTGAGTCATGGGCAATGACAACAGCTCACAGAAGCCAGCTGCAGGCCTCGGAAATGAGATACCTGAGAAAGGTGGTCCAAGTGACAAGAAGGGACAAAGTCCGCAATCAGACAATACGTCAAGATCTTGATACCCAGCCCTTACTAACCCGAGTGGATCAGTCACAGTTACGATGGTTTGGACATGTGTGCAGAATGGGAGAAAATCGGCCACCATGGCAAGCATGGGAGGCTAAGAACCAGGGAACCAGACCTCCGGGACGACCCAGGGTGCGCTGGGAAGACAACATCCGACAGTCCCTGACTGACAGAGGACTGGAATGGAACAAAGCCAGAAAGAAAACTGCTGATAGAGACGTCTGGCGATCTCTCTGGCAAACCTCTACACCCCAAGGTAGAAGAGGAGCGACTAAGTAAGTATCCTAGTCAATAAAATCACAAGACAGAATCTGACACACTGCAAGAGTCACATTCGGTCGGCTTCCTTCATAAAGAATTGTACATGTCCGTAAGAAAGCTAAATCTTCGGTGAGGGAGTGTTTGTACACAAAGGTGGCTAACTTGTAATCACTTGTAAATCTGGTGGCTTGTCCCCATAACAATATTTGACGTTTGAATCCCGGTAGGAGTTCTCATGCTGCACGCTCTGAAATCACAAGCAGACACGACACATTTAGACGGGATGGTTAGGATAAAAAACACAATCATTTTTTAACAGTAAAAACTTTGACACAAATATCAATAGAACAGTTAAAATCAAAGACTACAACAACACAAATCAATAACAACAATACAAAACAAAGAAGACAACAACACAAACCAAAGACAACAATATAAAATAAAGATGACAACAACACATACCAATGACAACAACACAAACCAAAGACCACAACAACACATACAAAAGACAACAACAAAAACACAAACTAAAGACAACAATAAAAACACAAACTAAAGACAACAACACACACCAAAGAAAACAATACAAAACAAAAAGAGACAACAACTCAAACCAAAGACAACAACACATACCAAAGATGAAAACACACAAAAAAAGACAACATAAACCAAAGACAACATACCCCCCCCCCCCCCCCCCCCACTGACAACAAAAACTAAAGACCACAACAACAAAAACTAAAGACCACAACAACACAAACAAAACTAAAGACAGTAACACAAACCAAAGAAAACAATACAAAATAAAGAAGACAACAAAATATACCAAAGATAAAAACGCAAACCAAAGACAACAACATAACCCCCCCCCCCCCTCCATAAAGGTAACAACGTAAACCAAAGACCACAACAACACACAAACCAAAGACAACAACAACCCCCCCCCCCCCAAGGTAACAACATAAACCAAAGACCACAACAACACACAAAAAACAAAAAAACAAACCAAAGACAACAACACAAACCAGACACAGCTAACAACAACACAAACTAAAGAAAGCAACACAAACCAAAGACAACAACACAAACCAAAGACAACAACACAAACCAAAGACAACAACACAAACCAGACACAGCTAACAACAACACAAACTAAAGAAAGCACCACAAACCAAAGACAACAACACAAACCAAAGACAACAACACAAACCAAAGACAACAACACAAACCAAAGACAACAACACAAACCAAAGACAACAACACAAACCAAAGACAACAACACAAACCAAAGACAACAACACAAACCAGACACAGCTAACAACAACAACAACCAACAGCTAGTTACCAATGAGGATGTCCTGCACTTGGCCAGGCACAAATCAAAGATGTTCTCCACTTCTCCCAGGAACAAGTTGTACGGAGCTTCCACGTTTTTCTCCAGAATGTTCCTCAGCAGGTGTTGCTGCAGGAGTCACAGAAGCAGGGTCTTAATCATCAACACAAAACTGGCAGTGAGAACCATACACAATCTTCATGTACTCATTCCCCTGGTCCTCCATTACTACAGACTGCAGAACAACTTTATGATCCTGTTTAGCTTTTCCCTGTCTACCCTGTAGGCAGAACTATTGTTTAGTCTTGTTTATGTCTGTCTAGAGTACACAGCTACATGTGTAGTCTTGTTTAGATTTGTATAGTGTACAGAGCCACCTGTGTAGTCTTGTTTAGATCTGTATAGTGTACAGAGCTACCCGTGTATTCTTGTTCAGATCTGTACAGCGTACACAGCTACCTGTGTAGTCTTGTTTAGATCTGTACAGCGTACACAGCTACATGTGTAGTCTTGTTTAGATCTGTACAGCGTACACAGCTACATGTGTAGTCTTGTTGAGGTCTGCCTGGTGTACACAGCTACATGTGTAGTCTTGTTTAGATCTGTACAGCGTACACAGCTACATGTGTAGTCTTGTTGAGGTCTGCCTGGTGTACACAGCTACATGTGTAGTCTTGTTTAGATCTGTACAGCGTACACAGCTACATGTGTAGTCTTGTTGAGGTCTGCCTGGTGTACATAGCTACATGTGTAGTCTTGTTTAGATCTGTACAGTGTACACAGCTACCCATGTAGTCTTGTTTAGATCTGTACAGAGTACACAGTCTTGTTTAGATCCGTTTAATGTACAGAGCTACAGCACAGTCTTGTTGAAGTCTGCCTGGTGTCACACAGTTAGTGCTGAATAAGCTACACAGCTTTGACCGTGCTGGTGTTTAGGCCATTCTCCTCTACAGAACTGAGGTTAAAATAGAGAGGATCAATTGCAAGGCACAGAGTTTTATCAGATATGACTCTGATTCACCAAGGAGGACAAGGGTGAGGAGTACTGTCTGGATTTTTTTACTGGGAGACGCCGGTGTGTTGGGAAATTAACAGTCGGACAGACTGGCTGGTTCAGCACAACTTGGTGGAATACTGATGCAGACGTGGTAAGTACCTTGTGGGAGAGCATGTACAGTTCAGAGGAGCAGATGGATCACCACAGTCTGGTGAGACTGATGCAGGGGGGAGTGACGAGAGGTTCTGGCAGATGCTTGAGGCTCAGAGGAAAGGCAAGATGGACGTTTAGTCAGAATGCTACTGGCACCATTAGTAACAGAACTCTTCACTGGCTGCTGAGGATGGGAACGGAGCGCTTATGGGAATGCCCCGAGTGCTGTGATGTCGGTTCTTGAATTAACTCATCTGTCTCAATAACAATTCACAAGCTGAAGCAGCAAGGTTTATTAAGGATTCCAAGATGATCCTGGGAAAGATGGGATATGCTATGAGTGCTACTGTTTAGTGTTATCAGTTAAACCGACACTAATAGCACTTATAAGCCTTTCCCATAAGCACCACATCCACATCTTCAGCAGCAAGCACAGTGTTAAATTTCTGATGTTACAAGCAAAAGTCTGAATATAAGTTCATCTCATCCCTCCCCTAAGTGATTAAAATTGACCAGACTTCCCTGGTCACTCCTCGCTGTACGCACAAATCTCTTCAGTCTCTGATGATCTATCTGTGCCTCCACACTGTATACACACTACCAAAGGGCCCTTACAACATCTAGCTTGTCTCGCATCAATTTACCACCAAGTGGTGTAGAACCAGCCAAGCTATCTGCCTGTTAATTTCCAAACACACCAGCATTCGCCTGACCAATTCCCCCCCCCCCCCCCATGTTAAATACATGGGACCTATGAAGCGAAGTGTTCACTGTTTGTAGACAAACATGGGACCTATGAAGCCAAGTGTTCACTGTTTGTAGACAAACATGGGACCTATGAAGCCAAGTGTTCACTGTTTGTAGACAAACATGGGACCTATGAAGCCAAGTGTTCACTGTTTGTAGACAAACATGGGACCTATGAAGCCAAGTGTTCACTGTTTGTAGACAAACATGGGACCTATAAAGCAAGTTCATTGTTTGTAGACAAAGGGCTTACACACACACAAAAGATAACCAGTATGTGCAGACACCAGACTTACATTATAAGATAAGAGACAATATTCACACAATCTATGGCCTTACATTTTTAGGCTGCAGGCAACAGGAGACACAATGCTCGTAGACACCGCAGCAACCGTTAGACAGGCAGGTATCGCATGTTTGATGTTTGGTCAGCGGGTGCTTGGGATTGCAACAGTTGTTGCTGCTAATGTGCTCTCTCCTGCATACATACCCTGTCAACAGTCAAACAACATATTCTGTGAACAGTAAAACAGCTTAACTATAACGAGTAAAATAATTACCTTGTCAATAGTAAAACAACACATTCTGTGAACTGTAAAACACCTAAATTATAAACTGTAAAACACATACCATGTCAACAGTAAAACAACACATTCTGTGAACTGTAAAACACCTTAACTATGAGGTAAAACACAAACCATGTGAACAGCCAAACAATACATTCTATAAACAGTAAAACACCTTAACTTTGAATGGTAAAACACATACAATGTGAACAGCCAAACAATACATTCTATAAACTGTAAAACAACTTAACTATGAATGGTCAAACACATATCATGTGAACAGCCAAACAATACATTCTGTGAACTGTAAAACAATGATTAAACACATACCCTGTAAAGTGTAAAAATAGCTACCCTGTCTTCTTCTTAGCATTTACCAGCTGGAGGAAAATTCTGGTTGTTCGTCCACTTCTACACTTTCATCTTGTTTCAGAACTTGAGTTTTGTGTGCCCATCTGTTTTTACAGATATAGTTTATTTCTATGCGAGCTGTTGGTTCCCACCTCTCGGGCAGATGCACTCTGACTTTGAAGGAAACAAACTTATCAGTCTGCTTTCACAACATGCCCCAAAACAGGGGACCCAGAACCAAAAACGAGGAATTACCCTGTCAACAGTCAAATACATACTCTATTATTAGCACTCCCTGTGTGGGCCCCAGAAGCTACTGACTGGTGGGGGGGTGGGGGGGGGGGGGGGAGGAGAGATCCACTATCCTACTAGTCTGTAACAACAAAAAGTAAGTTGCCTATCCTTACAGGACGTAGCAGAACCAATGCCAATTTTTTTTTTTTTGGGGGGGGGGGGGGGGGGACAAATTTTATGTTCAGTTCTTTGCCATTGCTTCCTGAACAGCTGACTATCTGAACCACTGTCGAAAACAATCTGCTGCCAAATCCCCCAAAACTAGGATTGAACCTGGCTCCCTGGCATTAAGAATCGTGTTTGCAACGCCTAAGCCACAGATGCCAACACTCATACTCTACAACAAGCATGTCAAAAAGGTCAACTAATTCACTGAAATTGGCTGTGTTGAGATGAAGGGTAAGGATATTGCAGCCCAGCTGTAAACCACAACATACGAATCGCTTTTGTATGAACAAATGCAGAAGAAGAAAATCTCAACATTCAAACAATTAGCACTTACTCTGTGAACAAAAACTGTGGCCAAGTGATTATGCCATTTGCTTACCGCTCTGAAGGTTGTGGGTTCGTTCACTAATATTAATGTTTAGTTCACAAGTATAGGTTTGACTGACATCCCCTCCCCTCCCCTGTGTGGGTTAAGGGCCCCATTGTCAGGGGCAAAAAGAGCAGTTCCCCCCCCCCCCCCCAACATGCATGTTGGATGCTCCCTTTAAAATCAGAGGGCATTTGCCAGAGAGGCCAGGACCCAACAATCTGAATACAAATAAGTCAGACCTGTACAATGGATGTGCTTGCAAAATTCAAGTTCTGGGACAAGACTAAAGTTGAAACGTGAATGAATAACCAGAATTAACCACTGAATAACCAGAATTCTCCACTGAATAACCAGAATTCTCCACTGAATAACCAGAATTAACCACTGAATAACCAGAATTCTCCACTGAATAACCAGAATTAACCACTGAATAACCAGAATTAACCACTGAGTAACCAGAATTAACAACTAAATAACCAGAATTAACCACTGAATAACCAGAATTAACCACTGAATAACCAGAATTCTCCACTGAATAACCAGAATTAACCACTGAATAACCAGAATTAACCACTGAGTAACCAGAATTAACCACTAAATAACCAGAATTAACCACTGAATAACCAGAATTAACCATTAAATAACCAGAATTAACCACTGAATAACCAGAATTAACCACTGAATAACCAGAATTAACCACTGAATAACCAGAATTAACCACTGAATAACCAGAATTAACCACTGAATAACCAGAATTAACCACTGAATAACCAGAATTAACCACTGAATAACCAGAATTAACCACTGAATAACCAGAATTAACCACTGAATAACCAGAATTAACCACTGAATAACCAGAATTAACCATTAAATAACCAGAATTAACCACTGAGTAACCAGAATTAACAACTAAATAACCAGAATTAACCACTGAATAACCAGAATTCTCCACTGCAGTTTACAGCTGGTGAACGCACACAAACAGAGACCCCTAAGGAATGGTCCCTGGAGCAACAGGTCCCATGCTTCATGTAACGCTCTCAGCAGGCAGCTTGTCACTCTGTAGAAAGAAATCTAGCCGTACGGGATAAAAGTTCTGGTGTATTGAAGTCAGTTCTTGGCTGTATGGGTTCTAGGCTCCGCTCTGTGTGTGTGTGTGTTTGGGGGGAAGGGGGACAAATTTACTGCTCCATAACAAGCATTTCATAAAAATCAACTAATTAGGGTTTGCTAAAATGGAATGTGTTGGGCTAAAAGGTGCAGATATCACAGCCTAGCTGTAAACTGCAACACAACTTGCCTACTGGCCTTTTATAGGTGAATGCAGAAGAGGAAGGTAATTGCATCGATTTTAAAACCAGATTTTAAACTACAAATAACAAAGTTGTAATATTGCTGCTACTCGCACTGCTTCTATTGTCTAGGACAGATAAAACAAATGCAGCTAGGCTTCCTTGTACATGCTGTCAACAATTTATTCTGTTGCGTTTATTTAATATGCTCGAATAATTATTCACACTTCCATCGCTTCGGACCTATTATAACACTGGTCATTCACAGGACATTAGAACTACACCTTCTATTAACACAACCTTTTTTACGACTTCTGGTAAGCAACTGACCACGAGTCCAGCTCAGGCTTCCCCTCGCTTATTCGACCAGCCCCAAGTATCCTGTGCAGTCGCTCAACACACAGCCTTTCAGCTTGCCACACTGTACACATGGAGACCATGCAAAGCACCTCATCACAAAAACATGTGAAAAGTAACATAAATGTGTTTGTTTTTTTAAAGGCAAGAACAAAACTGGGCCTCAAATATACTTGCAAGTAAGCCAGAAATACTTAGGGAAAAAAAATAGATGGAAAGAAAGACAAAAGAAAAATATACAGAATGACAGATGCATGGAAAGAAATGGGAAAAACAAAGAAAAAGCTGACAGATACACTGGTACATCAAGTGAATGTGATGTATGCTTAAGCGGCCACAAACCTCTCTGATCAACAATCAGCCAGCGACCTTGCCGAGAGTTCTGACACTTGATGGCCTCAGTGTCGTTTGTTTCTTCTGATGGCTGCCACTGAAATGGTTGACGCAGGGTCCGCTTGGACTCGTACTCCGTCAGGACATAGTCTGATGACTGAAGATACAAATTGTATAATGAACACAAGTAAACAAAAGGTGACTCTATTCGCACATCATATTGTGATGCAAGGCTGCAGAGGCCAGCTTCCTTCCTCACTGTTAAATGAATGGATTAAGACATCACTGCACTTGGGACAGTCCCATACATGCTTCATCCCCTTCTTCAGTAACCAACGAAGAGTTCATATGCTAACAGTTTCGGCTGCAACCTGATTAAAAGTCTGACTCTGTTTTCCCCTCAATGTTGAATATCTTTCAAAACCTCTTCCCACCCCCCTATTGAATTAGTCTTTCATTGAATGGATTCCCTATTTGTTCTTTTGCACTGTTCATTGAATCCAATAGAGCCCTCATCACATCCATTGAATCATACAGTAGCTCCCTACTCAGAGCAGCAGCTAATCTATCAGCCTGCTCGTTTCCGCGCACACCTGAATATCATGGATAGAAAACTCATGATATGGCCTTGATCTGAGTCTTCCACACATTGTTGTTCATTCTTATGTGTGTAAAAAAAAATAATGCAATACATGGAGAAGACAAGCAATAGAAAATGGTAAGAAAACCATCAAGTATACATTAGCTTTACAAAACCACTTACACAAAAATAAACAAACAGTGAATGTTGCAGCGATTAGACTTCATCAGCAAAACAATCACAAGAAACACAACATACAAATTAGCTGGTTGAAATGACTACATTTGAGAGAATGCAGCCAGACCAAACAGCAAATCAGACAGCAGAACATCTGGGAGGAAGGTGAGGGGAAGACCAAGAAAGAGACGGCTAAATGGTGTAGCTAAAACCCGCAAAAAGATGAACAAATCCACTACCCAAGCAGTGCAAAACAAACATAGAAAATTATGTCACTGGTTACAACTTGTTATCAGTAAGATGACAAAAGATGAAAAATGACTACACTGCAGTATTCAAATATGTAAAAAAAAAAAAATAATAATAAATGACAGGATTGTATCAAGTATGTAATACACACCAGGACCTTCTTCTTCTTCGCGTTCACCAGCTGCAAACTTTGGCAGAAAGTTCTGGTTGTTCATCCACTTCTGGACTGCAGTCCTGTTCCAGAACCTGAGTGTTGAGGATGCATCCGTTTGACAGATTTGACTCATTTGGATGCAGAATGCTGGTTTCTTGCTTCTCAGGCAGATGCACTCCGACTTCGAAGGAAGCTCCCAATTAGTCGACTCTTACGACATGCTTTTGGGTAGGCAGTGGGTCTATTCTTATTTTCCCTATAATAGGGCCCTGGAACCCCCGATCAATCTGAATCATACAAAGAACAGAATTAAAGCAGATGTCCCTTTCACAGAGAAGCGATGAAGCCCAAAAATGTAAAATCTGGCCAAGAGCAAGTAAAGAGCTGGAGACAGAAGTCACCAAGTGTGGTGGGTAAGGAGCTTTGAGAGTCAGTTACAATCAAACATATCAAGGCAAAACTGTTGGCCAAAAGAAACATTGGTGCAAGTCAAACTTTTGCAGGTTGCTAAGTGAATTACAAAATACAGTGAAGTTTATACTAGAGACAACACTGCAGACAAAGATAATCTATTTCACACGAACGAAAGAAGAAGAAGTTACAATCACAACATGTATGTACAGCTGGTTCTCAAGCTGTGGGAAAGTGCCATGACTGCCTCCATCATCATTCTCAAACTAACGTTGTAGTAAAATATGCTAGACTACAAGGTTTATTTTTTTTTTTTTTTTTTGCAATAAACGAACAGGAACTTCTGTCTTTAAGCACAGAGCTATCTATCACATTATCTGGATGGAAATTATCATGAATAAATTATTGGATTTTAAATTCTGCAGTGGCCAACCCCTGCACTCCCGGTCAAGTGTGATTAGAACCCACACAAGTCTATTTCTGGTAGACACTTTGATCTGAAGTCGATCTGAAGCAAAGTTCTTTGCTTCAAAATTAAGCTCAATTAAAAAAAGGACGCTTTTCCACACATTACAGGTGTAGTGGGCATATAGGGCTAGACCTATATTTATAGACCAAATGGCACTTAGTGGGTGATGTGGTCAGCATCAAGCCAGTCGCCTTTACTTCCCAGGACTGTACCTAGTACCCACTCAAAGCTGGGTCGACCTTGGAGCAGTCGAGCGTCTAGCCACTAGCTAGACCCCGGCAGCTCCCAAAATTAGACTCAAGGAACATCTAAATTTATTTGATCAAAATAATCTCACGACAATGATTCAATGCACGGAACAGGAGCAGTTTTTTAATTCAGTAATTTTTATTATTAGTAATATTTGTTTAGTATTTACTGGCTTTTAAATTAATTATTGGCAAATTCTGTAAAATTCAAAAACGTTTACTTTATAACACACTCACTTTCTGCCAAAACACTCGTGGCAGAACTAGGATTACTTGACAAGTATCAACATTTTTTTCCATAAAATAAAACGATGTAAACAAAATTCAATAAAACGTCAACAGAAGTGTAAGTTTAAACGAATTAATTCCATCGATTCTTTGCTTGAGCTTACTGTTCGGGGCAGCGAACGAAAGATTGGCACAGCCTCATCACAATCAACATAATACTACTGCTTAAAGCGGCTAATGTTTTTAATTATAACTATGCCACTAACCTTTGACAATGTTGCAGACAAGAAATACACAAGTGAACAAATGAAAATAACGGCCAACACCCAGCGTTTTCTCAAAACGCGAGGGTACAACATCGGCATCCTAGATCTGTGTCCGCCATGTAAACATCCTCCAATGTGGCAGGATTTTGTTAACGTTTCAGATCATAATTTATTATTTGTTATTTAATACAATATATCAGAATCAATTTTCACAGTTTTTTTTTTTTCTATTATTTTTGAAATATTTGTAATGAATGGTTTATGCTCTAACCCATAAGCTGTTTATTAGTATGATAAATTTAAAATATCATAAATGAAAAGTGGTGTGGAAATTAGCATTTCAAACTGGCAACATTTGAAACTGACTATATTGACAGCGTAAACTCTTGCTTTACTGCACATTAACTTAAGTTAAACATTGTCTCTTTTCACATTAGGAGACAAAGTGAGACAGAGTCAATGATATGTTTTTAACTCCACACACCATGTCAAAGTTCTACCTTAATTTCACATCATCGTGTCTATGTTCTGTCTTCGCATTACCATTTCAAGATTACCCTCGCTTCACCTCTTCGTTAGAATGATTGTCCTCATATTACCACAAGCACCTAGAAGCCCCACTCTGGCTTTTGCCAGGGGCCGCAATATAGGCAGGCCATAAAGATGGCCAAATGTCAGAACTATGCGGTTTCTTAACTCCACACACGGTGATCCTACATCCACATGGTGGCACTTTGTGTCATCGGGTGTTTATCGCCATGTCAAGATGTCCTAGTGGGGTTAGAATGATTGTCCTCCCACAAGCATCTATTTTCACTTCTAGTAAACAGAATGTCTTTTCATTACTCGAGATTCCGTCTTTCCTCTTTGTTTATCTCTTATTCAAGAACTCACCTCACTAATGCAACTTTTTACGAAAGCAAGCTGAAATGGCTGTCCTCATTTTACCTTAAGGTTCTGTCCTCATTTCACCTTGCAAATGTCCTTATTTTGCTGGCCATATTTTTACCACGCCACTTAACGCTGAATTTGTCCTTGCAACGCCGCCCCAGTGATTTAAAGGTGCCAAAATTAGGCTACAGAGATGACTTTCGAGAGCTTCTCGAGGCTGCGAGGTTTAATGAGGTCGGTCCGCGGACTCGCCCTCTGGTCTTCTCGCATTTTGTCCTCTACGCAAGTATTACATCTGTGGCAGTGCGCGCAGCACGTGCTGCTGTTGTGCAAGCGAGACAGACGCGTTTAAGACTTGGTCAAAACAACTCAGTGACCGCAATCTATTTCTATCTATTGTCTTCTTCACTTTTACCGGGTTGCAGCCCAGTGTCGTGGTTTAAAATATTTGTTTTGTGCCTCTCGCGTGATTTGAGTGACAGTTTTCTGGCCGTATTCAGCTACTCCATCTATCCATTTTTTTCTGGGTCTTCCTCTGGCCTTTCTTCCCGACCGCAATAAATAAGATATCCGAAAAAGGCTACGAAATAACCAGAAGAAGTGAGATAATAAGAGAAACGGAAGGCATAGAACCAATAGTAAATTACAGATATAAAAAGCAAATAAAGTATTTAACCTGCTGATTGAGAATGTTTTGTGATGCTATACTATCATGGCATATACCGAAAGATGACTGAGACGTAGAGCCCGAGGTATACGAAGAACTAGGTCAGACTGTGTCCAGAAGAAGGTTGTCTTTTCATTTCACAGAAATAAAATCCATATGTAGAACGGTAAAGAAAGCCCGTGCCATCTTTGAAGAATTAATCAAGTAACAGAAAGTATTGTGAACGGCACTCATAGAAAGAAGTAGAAAGATAGAAGAACACACTAGACAACATAAAAATCGAAAGCTATAGTTACCGTGCCAGGAATTGAACCTGTCACCTCCAGACGGCGTCTGCGCCTCGCCATGAATACAAGTGCACTAAGATACATGGTCAACTCGGCACCCCCGAAAAAAGGTGTCTCATTGGCCATGTCTATCGTACAGCTTGAAATCCACGACTATGGAATACGGACAGAATTCATTTCAACCCATCTTTGAAGAAGTGTATCTAAACACAAAATCGACTATTACACTAATGCACTGGCTCTCACCCTTCCTAATGCCGCGACCCTTTAATTCAGTTTCTCTATGTTGTGGTGACTCCCAACCCATTATTTTTCTTCATAACATCAATGAATATGTGTTTTCCCACGGCTTTCTCTATTCATATACAGAGGGGCCTGTGTTTTCCGATGGTCTAAAGCAACCCTTGTGAAAGGGTCGTTCGACTCCCCCCAAAAAAAAGTTCACGACCGACAGGTTGAGAACCATTGCACAAAGAAAATACTAAATCCAAAATGTTAATGACGCAATGTTATTATGAGTGTCTAATTATTCATAATACATTTTCTATAATATTCACAACCCTAATCAAAGCAATATGTGAACCATTTTTAAGGTCCTTTTTTCACGCCTTTAGGCGTATATGGTATATAGGGCAAGACATATATTTTTATAGACCAATCAGCACAAGATGGGTGATGTGGTCAGCATCGCGCCGGCCGCCTTTACTTCTTGGGACTGCACTCGGTACTCACTCAAGGCTGGGTCGACCTGGAAGTCAAGGTCATTTTTTTAAAAGTCTGGCTCCGCCAAGGAACGAATCTGAAACAATGCAAATTTACATATTAGTCATGTAAATAATTACGCGATATATAAATACGAAAGACCATATATATACTATGAAAACTCGATTAACACTATAGCTTCATCATCATGTACCATGCTGACTGTCGTGGGCGATCATTCCTCTCCACAATCCGGGATCTCCTGCAGCATGTATTAGTTCCTGTGCCGGCACTCTTCCATGCCATGCAACAAGACTGAAGAATCTTTTCTCGCTGTCTTCCTCTATTCCTCCTTCCACAGATCTTTCCAACATGTTCAATTTTTCCTCATCTCATAAAATGGCCGAAAAATTATGACTGTCTCCTTCTGATATCTGTGATAAGTTGTCTTTGGACTCCCACCTCTCTCAAACCCTCTTGGTTGCTCTTTTTTGGCTGTCCACGGTATTTTAAGCATTCTTCTGTAAAACCACATCTCTGAGGCCTCAATACATTGTTTGGCCTGCCTACCGATTGTCCAGGACTCACAGCCGAATGTTAAAACTGGACGTTTGTAGCAAGCAAGAATTATTTTTTTTAAACCTTTAATGACAAAAATATATTGCATAAGATGTTCTTCATTTTATAAAATGCCGTTTTTGCCTGTCCTATTCTGTTTATTATCTCAGTAATGTATCTTCTATCTGATGTCATCCATGTGCCCAGATACTTAAATTTATGTACTTGTCCCAAAATAATACCACCGACTTTTATTACACACGGCCTATCGACTGCGCTAACGCGGCCCCACCAAAGGGGAAACCACCGATGTATTATCCCTAGAAAACCATGCTTTGAAACAAAACACTACAGATCCCTGTCAGAGCCCCAAGCGTTAAACAGAATATATTTTTTTTTAAAGGTACCACATTACTACTTAAGAAAGAATGTCTGAGTTGAGCTGAGTTGATTAGAGAGCCGACACCACAGCACTCGTGCAATCCCACAAGCAATCCGTCCCCATCTTCAGCAACCAGTGCAGAGTTCCAATACCATTGGTGTAGGTAGCATTCTAATTATACGTCCGTCTTACCTTTCCCCTTGAACGTCGTGTCGGCCAGATCCCATCGTAATTTCCCGCTGCATTACTCTCACCAGACTGATGAGATCCAATTGCTCCTTCGAACTGTAATGTTCCCCCACGAGGCCCTAACTACGTCTGCCTTTTTATCAATATTCCACCAGAGAGTATTCAAAAAACAAAAACAAAGTAGGATGTCTTGTGATGCAATAACGTCATCACATATTCCAAAAGAGGAGAGAAAGACAGACGTAGATCCCAAAATGTGTGATGGAGAAATGTTAGGATGCTGTCCGCGTTAAATTACAACTTAATATTTTTTTTTAATGTGATGATCAACTTCGCTGCGATGTTGAATGTTGAATTAAGAATCGAATCACAGCACTCGAGACACTCCCATAAGTGCTCCATCCCCATCTTCAGCAGCAAGCGAAGAGTTCAAATTCCAATGGCACCAGAACCCGTCTGACTGTATCGGTCTCATCCTTCCCCTGAGTGCCGAGCATCGGCTAGAGATCCCCTGGTAGCTCCTCGCAGCGCCATTCTCTTTAAACTACTTCGCTGCGATGGTGTTTATCTAATCTGGCTCCATTTCCCTCCATAATTCGCTGGTTGATATTGGTTATAACCGCACGTTTACCGCATGTGTTACTCTAGTTTAAACTTGACGAAATATACAAATAAATATGTTTTACTCCATCAGTTTGTAAACTTGACGTAAATGCCTACATCGGGCATAAGAGCGTATTTTACAGATAGGATTGAAATGTGGTCAGCATGCTCCATCAGAAAAGTATTAGACATGCCGAATAAAAACAATGTACGTTCGGGAGACAGAGATGCTGAAAAAAAAAAACAAGAATAGATCCACTTCCTTCCAAGCAAGCATGTCGTAAGAGTCGACCTACTGGGGGTTTTCTTCGAAGTCGAAAGTGCGATTCTGCCTTTAAAAAAACAACAAGTAATTAAGAGTCTGTAGATAGGTCAAATTTGTACAAAGAATGTACGCGCAACAGTCCGCTGATCTTCTGAGATGTAGTGCCTGTGATGGTATTTGATCTTGCTGCATTCTAACGAGATGGCCAAACCACTTGATCTGCTGTTTCTCGATGAAACCAGTACAATGTGTCGTTCCCACAGTTTGCCTGATAGTTCCATTATTAACTCGATCTCGTATGGTTAGGTTGGCTGCTTTTCTCAGGCATCTCATCTCGGAGGGGGTGATTTTAGGTATGTGGGCTTTAGATAGTGTCAAAGTTTGGCACTGGTAGCTTAATGTTGGAAGGAATATGCTGTTAATAATTGTCTCTTTGCACTCATAGTTATGCTTGGGTGTCTTAATAATGTGACAGTTGGTATATAAGTGCACTTGCCTTCTGACATCTGGTTTCTATTTCTCTGTCAATTCTACCACTTTCTCTGATCA